CACCACCAGTGTGCAAACGGCAAAAGGGGCTGCCGGTGGAGGAGGAATCGAAGAGGGACTCGTCGTCCTTTTTCTATTGCCGCCCTGGTCGGCCATTGCGCTACAACTGCCGGCCTTCTAGAGCGTGAGCGGAGGAGCTAGCGCCCTTTTAATTTGAGCATGGTTTTAGTAACTGCTAAGTAGTTCCTGGCCGTGCAAAACGGGGACAGCCACAGTCCACAGGCCGCCTGTTCGCTAGTGGGTACAGGGTACGTACGTGACAAGAAGGCTCTGGGGGCACTTCAGTGTGTGCCCTTGTCTTCTCTTGGCCTAATCAGAATCATGAGCATAAGCCGATGATTGATTAAATGATTAGGAGACATATATAATCAGTGACCAGAAGTATCTAGCTAGCTCCTTTGACCTTTTTGGCACCGCATGCAGGAGCGGTTACGGGCGACCGAATTGGATTATCTCAGTCTCCTCTTTTTGTTAGTTACATACAGTACTGATCAATCTTCTTGAGGTGCAGTCATAAAGAGTAGCCAGGAGAAGTCATGTCATGTAGGCCAGTAGGGTTGCTGACTTGCTGTTTGCTAAAGCAGCTCGAAAAGCAGTCAAAGCCGATGCTATTCAGGCTTCAGAATGCCGCAAACTCATTAACATCACCAAGATACCAACCATGACTGTTCCTTTTGACACTGATGTGCTACTATTCCTCGTGTCGGCTACCAGCCCGTCGGGCCACACACAGCCCATGGAGGTCCACGCCTACGTTTTTGTGGAACAGTGGCCTCTGTGGAATCCGGTTAGTTGGGCCACGGTGCCACCGCGTTCGTCCTGCCCAAGAAAAGGAAGGCCCACAGCGTGGCCTGGCCTGCCGCCAGGGGCGACTAAGGTCCGACCGCGCAGCCGTCCAGCAACCAGGAAAAAAAAAATACTTTGGTCCTGCGCGTGGTTCTGGCAATCGGGCCGATTTCAGTTTTATTATTATTGGGCCTTCCACTCCGCGCATGGTCCCGCCCGCTACTCTGCTTCCCGTACGCCCTCATGCCGCCTGTTGTTGCGCTACCTGTACGGGCCTCCTTTTTCTTGAGAGAAAGAAAATAGAATGAGCAAGCAAAAAATAGTGTGAATTCAGGGGTTCTAAGAATGTAATCCTCCTACCACTACAACACATGGACGTTTGTGTTAGATATAAAGTATTATTTTATTAATTCTACCGAATCATTTAAATCTAAGAAAAACCTTCCATGTCACAAGAATAATATTAAGTTTCTAAAAGCGAACAAAAATAATATTCTAAACTAAAAATATACCACAGGGAATTCCATGAAATATGAAAAAAATGTAATAGGAAAAATAAACAAGGAAGAATGAGAAAGCAAAGTTAAAAAATGGCATGTATGACAAAAACGAAAAAAAGAAAATAATAATCAAATGCAGATGAGTGGAAGAGAAAATGAAATATAATATGGAATGATGCATAGGAAAGAACATAATAAAAATACATAGAATATCCCATGGATACTACTAAAATAACCTAAAATTTACCATATAACATCGCACGAGTACTATGTTAATACCATACTCAAAGATCATCGTAGAACATCCCATCCATACTGCACGAACATCACAAAATACATCATAGAATATCACATATATACTACGAGAACATCACAACAAGACATATGGGGAACCAGAAATAATAAAAAGAAAAACATGTAACAGAGGAAAATAAAAAAAGAATATCACATGGATATTACTTAATGAACAACCTAAAATATATCATAGAACATTTGACAAGTGACATCTCGCAAGCACCATTGTGAATACTCAAAAATAATCATAGAACATCTTATTTATAATATGTGAACATCCAAAGACACATCGTAGAACGTAACATGTATACTATGCTGAACATCATAAGATGTATCTTATGGAAATCTAGGAAATAAAAGACTAAAAGATGCATAATAGGAAAAAGAAAAAAGAAAAAAAGGAAAAAACTATACACCAGTGGAAATAAAATGAAATTACGAAAGAAAGAATGAAATGAAAAGAAAATAATAATTAAATCTAAATAAATGGAAGGAAAAAATATATAACGTGGAACATATATATATATATATATAAAGAACGTAATAAAAACACATAAAATATCACATGGATACTACTAGAAGAACCTAAAATATACATAGAACATGTCACCAGTACTACATGAATACTTAAACATAATAGTAGGACATGACATTTATACTAATTGACAAAAACAATGAAAAAATATAATAGTGGAAAATGAAAAGAACATTACAATTGTACAATCTAGAAATATATCATAGAACATCTCATAAGTGCTATATGAATATTCTCAAATAATCACTTATACTATGACAATATTAAAAAATATATCATTAAACATTACATGTATACTCTAGGAGAATCATATGTAAAATAATTATTTATAATAAATAAATAAATAAAAATTAAGATAAAAAGATAAAAAGGAAAGAAGAATAAAATTTAACACAGAAAATAAAAAAATGAAAAATGAAAAGGATAAGAACAACAACTTAAATAAAACTTCAGGAAATAATGAAGAGACTAAGACAACAATAAGTAGAAAGGCAAAATTAGAAAAAAATAAAGGAAAAAATGAAAGTTAAACAATGACTTAAATAGAAAAGAAAAATGAAATAAAGAGGAAGCACAATACTAAGAAAAAGGAAAATGGAAAAGGATAAGAAAAAGTAAAATAAAAAATGAGAGTAGAAAACAATTTAAATAGAAAAGGGAATGAAATAAAAAGAGAAGAAAATATTAAGAAAAGAGAAAGAAAACAAAAAAAAGAAAAGGGTAAAAATAGAAACGAGAAAAAAGAAAAAGAAAAAGAAAAGAAAAAATGAAAATGAAAATGGCGTAAATAGGAAAGTAAAATCAAATTAAAATAAAAAAATGAGTAAAAATAAAAGAAAAGAAAAAAGAAGTTACGGACAAAAGAAAGGTCAACCCGACCCCCAAATCTAATAGTATAGATACGAAGTCATCGTGAGATGTACTCCCTCCAGTTTAAAGATGTCGTTTCAAGGTTGTTTTAACTCAAATATTTTAAACTTTGATCATAAATATTTTTTTAGTTAAGTTTGAAAATATAAAAGTAATGTACGTAGATTAATCTTGAAATGTAGTTTCATAAAAAATATATATGGACTATATTTTATAATATTTTATAACAAAAAAATAACGGTTAAAATTGTTTTTTAGACTGTGTTGCTGTCTAAAATGATATCCCTTAGAAAACCGGTGGGAGTAAATAATTTTTTGGGCTCCTTTGGATCGTAGCATTAGCATAGGAATTCTGTAGGATTTGGATTCCTTTAGAATTTTTCCTACGGCTGCCTTTGGTTCACAGGAAATATTCCATAAGATTGGATACGATTCAGTTTCACACGAAAGAAAACAAGAGCTCAGACCTAATGGAAACTTTCATGGCGCGAAAGGAAACGACTCAGCGTGCTCCCGCATCTGTTCGCCCGTCCATCCATCGCCTCGCCACTGAGCCCAAGCCTCGCTGCAAGTCCGCCTCGCTGCAAGTCCGACCCCTCCGCTCCAATCCTTTCTCGTGCTGCGTCGCCGCCGCCCGCCGCCCAGTCCCGCCCTGCTCTGCTCCGCTGTGGAAGAAGAGGGCAGCAACCCACAGCGCGACCCAGGATGCAGATCTAGCGTGGTGGCTGCTCGGGGTCGGGGGTGATCGTCAGCTGCTCGGATCTGGGCAGAGCTAACTCAGCCTCTCTCCATCCCTCTCCATAGATCATGCGTAAGCTTCTTCTCTATCTTCTGCATACTTTCTTTTTCCCCACCTGAGCCATGCACTTTCTCTTTTTTTCTTTCGAATCTGAGAATTTATATTCTATCTTTCAATTTTGGAAGAAATTAGCGATGTTTAGTTTTTTTCCCACTTAAATAAGAAAAAAAGGCCTCAAATTTTTTATAACACCTGGTATTTGGATCTCAACCGTTGATTATTTTCATGCAAGGGAAACGATGCCGTGCCTGATCAGTTGGGCTTCAGGTTGAGTTAATTGGCACATGTAATACTGTCTGTAATGACTGTGATCCAAATTACCAGACTTATTTGTTCTTTGATAACACTACAGTAAATGTTCAATATTTATTTTTGGTTTTCTTTAATAATAAGACTAAAAAAAGAATCTTTCTACAAATGAGTTTACATGAGAGAGAATACTTAGATTTGAGTTATGCTCTCCTGACATCTAAAATAAGTCTTTTATATAGGTAGTCTGTTGGAAGCTATAAACATTATGTTGGAGATCCATTTTAGATTTAAATTTGTTTCATGAGACAGCAAGTGGCGGATCTAGAAAATATATTTAGGGGGGACCGGGACAAAGAGAGCTATTTTCCAATGGACTGGAAACTAGCTTCTCTACACTCTGCTATGGGCCGCTGAAACACATATACTGGCCCAGAAACACAGCTCAACTCGAAACTCATCTTCAACCTCCGTCGGAAGTACTCCAGCGCTTTCTTCTCTGTTAATAATGGCTGAAAAATTGATGGGAGAGGGCTAAGGGAGGCTCCAATGGCGCGGCCAGAGCAGAGGGGGCTTGAGTCGCGGTAGCCCCTGGCAGATCCGCCCCTGGAGACAGCCTAAAAGCACGGGTGGACGCACTGCTCCGAAGTCGGACCGGAAGATTTCCACCTGCCGCCTGCCCCGCGCCACCGCCCCGCCCGCGTGGAATCCACGCTAGCTGTCCCGTGCTTACCTGATACGCCGCGTGGAAGAGCGTTGGATGTAAGCTACTGTTTCGTGTGGAGACAGAATCGTATCGCCAGGTAGATGCCCATCCCCTTCCCTTCCCTTCCCCTCGCCGAGAGAGAGAGAGAGAGAGAGGGGGGCGAGAGTGGCAGACCCAGAACCAGACCACACCTCGCCGCCGCCGGTGATCGAGTCGCGTCGGCACTACCTTCACGCTAGAAGACAATAAGCATCGGCAGCCATGTTCGGCTCCACCAACCGTAAGCGCTGATCCCCTAATCCCCTCCTATTCTCGTCGATTCCATCACATTGGATTCCATGACCTTGCTTTTAAATCCTCGATTCCGTTCTCGTATGTATGTATGTATGTATTGCTACTGTTGCGCTTCCTTCCCGTTCGATTGATTATTCGATTTCATATATTTCGATGGATTGTCCATATGCCTCCACACTAGGGTTTCGTCAATACTTGCAGTCTCAACTTCAAGGATCCATGGAACACCTAACCAAACTCTTTTATCTACTTGCAAATAAAGCAGAAGAATGCTTCGGTGCTCATCGTTTTCATTTATATTTGTATAATATATGCTAGCTGGTACAATGCAATACCTGATTACGATTGTACAGTTCAAGTTTCCCTTGCTGCAAGCCCTTACATGTCTCCATAGAGAGTATACTTTTTTTTTCTTTTTTTCTTTTTTGCAGTGTTGATTATCTTCTCACCTCTCGTGTATCTTCATTGCAGCATTCGGGCAGTCGTCCACCAGCCCATTTGGCCAGACCTCATTTGGAACTCCGCAGGGATTCGGCCAGTCTTCCACTGCTGCCAACAATCCCTTTGCCCCAAAACCGTTTGGCAGCCCGATCACAACTTTTGGGGCACACACTGGAAGCTCGCTCTTTGCAACTACTTCTACTGGTGCCTTTGGCCAGCAGCAATCCACTCCCGCATTTGGCACAACATCCACTGGTGCCTTTGGCCAGCAGCAATCCACTCCCACATTTGGCACTCCATCCTCCTCTCCGTTCGGGAGCTCTACGCCAGCCTTCGGTGCAACCCCCACTCCTGCCTTTGGTGCCACATCCTCTGGTATGTACTATGCATTATATATTGCTTTCCTCTCTTGCTGGTTTTCCATGCTGATCATACTAGATTGTCAGACAAAGCCACTTTCTAGATTGTCTAATTAATGATGCCAGTTTTATGCGTAATTGTTCTTTTCAGTTTCACCCATATCTTACAAGTTTTATTTATTTTTGCATTTTTCTTTGTTCTAAAAATAGCTACTCATGTGAAATTATGCCAGTTCATTTGTCACTATGTTGGTCTAACAAGATCTTATGTACTATATGTGATGTCACATGCTGTAGGTTCTTTGTTTGGACATAAGCCAAGTTTTGGGGGGTTTGGATCATCTCCTAGCCAGTCAAGTCCTTTTGGTAGCATGTTCCAGCAAACACAACCAACATTTGGCATCAGCACTTTTGGTGCATCAACTACGCTGGCATTTGGTACAACTACACCAGCCTTTGGCACCACAACTACACCGGCCTTCAGTGCCACGATTACCCCAGCATTTGGTTCAACATCAACATCTTTATTCGGTGCTTCTAGCACCCCAGCGTTTGGTTCTACAGCCTTTGGTACATCTGCTACTGGTTTTGGAACTTCAGGGACCACAACATTTGGTGTGAGTAGTACTACTCCAGGTTTTGGATCTTCAAGCACACCTTCATTTGGCACATCAGCTAGCGCCTTCAGTTTTGGCTCTTCACCATCTTTTGGACAAACAACACTTTCCTCTGGTAGCACTCCCTTTGGAGCAACTCCGTCACCTTTTGGTGCAGCAGCTCCTGCATTTGGTAGGTTTTCCCATTGGATATTCACATTATTTGAGCTAGTTATGATGTAATGGTCACTGAATAACAGTCTGAGTATATATGATGTAGCAGTTGATAGTTATTGATTCTTTTGTTCTTTCTTATTACTCCAGTAGACCTATTTTATTGCAAATCTTTCTTTTTAACTGTTTTTACACTGTCCAGGTCATCTTATACCTGTTTGACCAATTGTTTGTTCCCTTTGAGTTTCAGGCTCACAGACAGCAGTGCCAGCTTTTGGGCAACCACAATTTGCTAATCAAGCTGGAGGAACCAGAATAAAACCTTATGCTCAAACACCAGATGTTGACAGTGCTACTAGTGGTACTCAGCCTGCTGCAAAACTTGATTCCATATCAGCGATGCCTGAATACAAAGACAAGAGTCATGACGAATTGAGGTGGGAAGACTATCAGCGTGATCAAGCTGGAGGAACCAGAATAAAACCTTATGCTCAAACACCAGATGTTGACAGTGCTACTAGTGGTACTCAGCCTGCTGCAAAACTTGATTCCATATCAGTGATGCCTGAATACAAATACAAAGACAAGAGTCATGAAGAATTGAGGTGGGAAGACTATCAGCATGGAGACAAAGGTGAGGAAAATTGTTTGTTTGGGGATCAATGATTTTGTTTGATTTGCAAACCCCCTCTAAACCATACTTTACTTCCGTGTATTCTTTTGTCATGCTTGTTTTTGCATGAGCTGGAGTGACTATTATGTTATACCCTGGCTTATGATACACCTTGAAATCTGAATAGAATTGACAAAGAAAACATGCTGCTATTCCCTTTATTAATTGTTTATTATTTATTGCTGGATTTCTTTGGTCCATGCAAATTGTATTTTTTCTTCACACCTGAGTCGACGGGTGCGAAGGGTAAGGAAACTAGTCGAACCAACTAGGATCCGTTTAGGCAGTTGGAATGTAGGGTCGCTTACAGGTAAGTTAAGAGAATTAGTTGATACCGCGACTAGTAGGCGTGTAAATATATTATGCGTTCAAGAGACTAAATGGAAGGGTCAGAAGGCGAAGGAGTGGATAATACATGTTTCAAGCTTTGGTACACAGGGCAGTCGCGAATAGAAATGGAGTAGGAGTTTTGATTGATAAGAGCCTCAAGAATGGTGTGGTGGGAGTGAGAAGGCAAGGAGATAGGATTATCTTAGTCAAGCTTGTCGTTGGTGATATGATCTTGAACGTAATTAGTGTGTATGCCCCCCAAGTAGGCCTCGACGAGAGTGCTAAGAGACAGTTTTGGGAAGACTTAGATGGCCTGATTAGAGCTGTACCTAGTAGTGAGAAGCTTTTTATAGGAGGAGATCTTAATGGGCATGTAGGTACTACGAAAAGGTGTTTCGAGGCGATTCATGGAGGTTTTGGGTATGGTAGTAGGAATCGGGAGGGGGAGGAAGTTACGGACTTTGCGGTAGCTTTGACCGATGATAGCCAACACTTTCTTTAGAAAGAGAGAATCTCATCTATTGACCTTGAGAGTGAGATAACACTCTAGCTGTGATTGACTTTGTCCTCGCAAGAAGAAAGGACAAACGAGCATGCTTGGGTTGCAAGGTGATACCAGGGGAGTGTGTTGTTTCTCAACATAAGCTTTTGATATGGACTTTCTTTTTTCAAAAGGCACTGTAGGGATAAACAAGCTAAGATTGAAAGAACAAAGTGGTGGAAACTGAAAGGGGAGACGTCAGAGGTATTCAGGGAAATGGTTATCAAAGAGGGCTCTTGGAAGAAAGAAGAGGACATAAACAACATGTGGGAGAAGATGGCAACCAACATTAGGAAGGTGGCCTCAGAGGTGTGTGGAGTAACCAAAGGAAGTGGAGGCGAGTCTAAAGATACTTGGTGGTGGAACGAGGAAGTCAGGAGAAAAAAGAATGCTATAGACGCTTGTACCATGACAGGATTGTGGACAACATAGAGAAGTACAAGGTGGCAAAGAAGACTGCAAAGCGAGCTGTAAGTGTGACAAAGGGTAGAGCGTACGAGGATCCTTACCAACATTTGAGTACAAAGGAAGGAGAGAAGGACATTTATAGGATGACTAGGGTTCGTGAGAGAAAGACAAGGGACTTCAACCAAGTTAAGTGCATTAAGGATGAAAGAGAGCATCTCTTGGTGAAGGAGGATGAGATCCGACATCGATGGCAAAAGAATTTTGACAAATTGTTCAATGGTGAGAATACGGACACAATCTTTCAGTTGGATAACTCTTTTGATGACACCAATAGGCGCTTTGTGCGGAGAATTCAAGAATCTGAGGTCAGAGAGGCGTTGAAAATGATAAAAGGAGGTAAGGCGATGGGATCGGATGGTATCCCAATCGAGGTGTGGAGATGCCTCGGGGACATAGCTATAGTATGGCTAACCAAGCTGTTCAACCATATTTTTCGATCAAACAAGATGCCTGACGAGTGGAGGAGAAGTATATTGGTACCGATCTACAAGAATAAAGGGGATATTCAAAGTTGTACTAATTATCGGGGAATTAAGTTGACGAGCCATACTATGAAGCTATGGGAGAGAGTTATCGAGCATCGCTTGAGAGCAATAACGCGGGTCTCTATGAACCAATTTGGTTTTATGCCCGGAAGGTCAACCATGGAAGCCATTTTCTTAATAAGACAAGTTATGGAGAGGTATGGGGAGAAAAAAAAGGACATATACATGGTTTTTATTGACTTAGAGAAGGCTTATGATAAAATACCAAGGAATGTTCTGTGGCGGGCTTTGGACAAACATAAAGTCCCAACGAAGTACGTCGGGTTCATTAAGGACATGTACAACAATGTTGTGATTAGTGTTCGAACAAGTGATGGAGACATGGATGACTTCCTGATTAGGATAGGACTACATCAAGGGTCAGCTTTGAGCCCTTATCTGTTTGCCTTAGTGATGGATGAGGTCACAAGGGACATACAAGGGGACATCCCTTGGTGTATGCTTTTCGCGGACGATGTAGTGCTAGTTGATGAAAGCCGGACAAGAGTGAATCAGAAACTAAAGTTATGGTTGGAGACTTTGGAATCCAAAGGTTTTAGACTCAGTAGAACTAAAACTGAGTATATGAGATGCGACTTCGGCACTACTACTCGGGAGGAGGGAGATGTTAGTTTGGAAGGGCAAGTAGTGCCTAGGAAGGATACCTTTCGATATTTAGGATCAATGCTACAGAGAGACGGGGATATTGATGAAGATGTTAGCCATAGAATCAAAGCAGGGTGGATGAAGTGGCAACAAACATCTGGTGTCCTATGTGACAAAAGGGTACCATAGAAGCTAAAAGGCAAGTTTTATAGGACGACGATTAGACCTGTTATGTTGTATGGTGCAGAATGTTGGCCTACGAAAAGACGATATGTTCAACAGATAAGTGTCACGGAAATGCGTATGTTGCGTTGGATTTGCGGTCATACAAGAAGGGATCGAGTTCGGAACGATGATATACGTGGTAGATTAGGGGTAGTACCAATTGAAGAAAAGCTTGTCCAACATCGGTTGAGATGGTTTGGACATGTCCAACGGAGACCTCCAGAGGCACCGGTGTGTAGTGGAATCCTAAGCTAGGATAGTAACGTGAAGAGAGGCAGAGGAAGACCGAAGTTGACTTGGGTAGAGGCAATAAAAGGAGACTTGAAAGGATGGAATATACCCAAAGACTTAGCCTTAGATAGGAGTGCTTGAAAAACAACTATTCATGTGCCTGAACCTTGATTGCTTCTGCTGGGTTTCAACTCTAGCCTACCCCAACTTGTTTGGGACTTAAAGGCTTTGTTGTTGTTGTTGTTGTTGTTGTTTTTGTGAAACAAATGCAACACTCTTAATACTTGTACTTGCAGGTGGACCAAACCCTTCTGGAACTCCAGCAGGGGCACCTAGCTTTCCATCATCACAACAGAATGCTTTTGCTCCGACAAGCAATCCATTTAACCTGCCTGCCACAAACTCATTTTCAACAATCAATCCATTTGTTCCTAAGCCTGCTCCAACTATTTCTTCACCATTCACCTCATTTAGCAATGCATCAGTTGCAAGTTCGAGCCCATTCACATCATCCACTAGTACCACAATGTTTGGGCAAACAGGTGTTTCTACATTTCCAGCAAGTACTTCGCCATCAGTATTTGTAAATACAAATCCTGCTTCTGGTACATCATCGTTATTTGGCACATCAATGATGAATAATCCAAGTCCATTTGGCACCGGCTTTGTTGTTGTTGTTGTTGTTGTATTTGCTCAACCGATATCAAATACACCAGCTTTCTCCTCTGGGAACCTATTCGGTTCAACTAATCCTGGCAGTCTGTTTGGAAGCAGCGGGCCTTCACTTTTTTCAACAGTAAGTATCCTTTGTCATTTTGTCCTCATATTTTATTACTAGCATGGTTTTTAAGGCGCCGCCTAGGCATCCAGGCGCTAAAAATTCCTGGGCGTTCCACGACCAAAATCCAGCAAAACAAGAGAGGATGGGAGGGAGAAGAAAGAGGAAGAACTAGAGGATGACCAGCTGACCAGCATGATTCAGGGAAGGCCAAGCTCCTATCTTCTCCCCATCCCCATCGGCTCACGTGGCCATGTCAGCTTTCCTCACCGGCCAACTGCAGCATCAGGGATGTGAGAGGGGCAGCAGCAGGTCAGCAGCTCTCGATCTGCATAGAGTGGAGAGGGATCTGGAAGGGGGCGGCACCAGCATTGGAGAAGGGAAGGGGGGAAGAGGCGGGGAGGACTGGAGGAGAGGTGCCACGGAGGCAGCAACAGATGTGAATGGGAGGCGGTGGGAGGGAGAGATAGATTCGCCGCCTGATGGAAGGGGTCTCAGGAGGGGGAGTGGCAGCTCTAGGTCATGCTTAGGGAAGGTTGCATGGGCTGTTTGGTGGTCTCTTGGGCTGGACTTTCTTAGTTGTTCCCCTTCTTTTCTTTTTTAATTCCCTTTTCCTACCTTCTCCATACTACAGCTCTGAAGTTTTTCATATTCATATGGCGTCGCCTTGCCTCACCTAGGTGTCACCTGGGCGACTCAAAAGGGTGGCTCGCCACGCCCTGCCTTACCGCCTTAATAACCATGATTACTAGATTCTCGTTATCATTTCTTATTTATTAGTACTTAATTTATTTTGCTTCTAATGATTTAGCCAACATTTCAGCCATCTGCTGCTGCTCAAACTTCAAACATGTTCTCCATCCAACCTCCTCCGATTCAACCAGGTCAGTATTTTATATTTACACATTTCTCTTTTTTTTAATAATTTATCTTCAAAGACTAATTTGGGGCTTAACTTATGTTCAAATGCCTGCCTGCATGGATACAGCAGCTTCTACAGGTGGATTCCCTGGTTTTTCCAACACTACGAATCAGGCCTTGATTGGACAGCCGTATGATCTGCTATTTCTCAAATGTGCATGATTATTCTTTTCTATTTAGTAATTTCTTTTTGATGGATTAAAACACTGATTAGTTATAACAAGGTGAAGGAAAAACAATATTACGATCAGTCTAATATGGAGTATGGTGTAGGCAAAGAAGGAAAAAAAACTTGATTGTTCATGGAGACTAGCTTATATTTGATGCCATGAGACTGCCAGATTGTTATTTTATATCTGTAGTTTAAGAGCATGGTTTTGGCAGAGATCATAATTATCCCACAATTCACAAATGAGTTTTGGCGACACTTATGATTCGTTTTTTTCTTTTGACTAAAGTAATACATTATTCAGTTTAACATGGTGTATCCTGTTGCATTTTTCACAGAACTCCTAGCCAGTCCAGTATGGTCATGCAGCCTGCTCCTGTTTCAAATCCATTTGGGACGCTTCCAGCAATGCCTCAGATGTCTATTGGGAATGGTGGATCTTCACCATCTGTTCAATATGGGATTTCAAGTTTGCTGGTTAGTTTTAAGCATTTTCAATTGTTTATGTAGAGTAGGTGGACGTAGAGATAGTAGCAAGATGGTGGTTGTTAATTAGGAAGGTGTGGTACTAAAGGTGCATAAGCAGGTAGCCAGGTACCACATATGAAGAGGTGCTTGATTGCAACTTCTTACTGTTCTGCAGGTTGGTGAGAAGCCTCTTCAAAATAGAGCATTGTGCATGGTGGTTCCTAGGCATTTGTCACAGAGAAGGATAAAACTGCTGCAGAGAAAATATAATCCAATATCTGATGGCAAGGTAATGAATGACTGGACCTATAAGAATAGAATAACTTCAAAGTTTCATTTTATGATTTGTTAATGGAGCTTTTGGAAGCCATTGAGAAACCATTGAACACATTGCTCAGTTTCCTTTTTTATTCCAATATAGGTTCCATTCTTTGCTGATGATGAAGAATCTCCAGCAACGCTGAAGGCGGATGCTTTTTTCATCCCTAGAGAGAACACAAGGAATCTGGTAATTCGTCCAATTGAGCAGTGGCCTTTGCAGAGAGAAACTGACCGGCAATTGACTTCGAAGAATGCTACTGATTTGAACAAATATGAAGGTAAATCTTTTCATTAATGTAATGGAATTTTCATATAAATATTTTCCCCTGCAATGGCAAATGTCAGTTACTGATCTCATTAAATTGTGCAGACGCTTCCACTGAAAGTGAGCGTGGTAAGTCTGCCATGTCACCAAGCAGCAGGCCTCCTGCAGTGGAAAATGACAATCAGCATGTGGCCAGGGCCATGGCTCAGCATGAGAATGGGAATGTTACTTCAGTCGAGAGGCTATTGCCTACGCTTCCACATGCAGATTACTTCACAGAGCCTAGTATAGAGGAGATTGCGGCCAAAGAACGTGCGCAGGCAGGCTACTGTGGTCAGGTGAGGGACTTTGTTGTGGGGCGACATGGCTATGGCAGCATCAAGTTTTTGGGGGAGACCGACGTGAGATGTCTAGATCTGGAGTCAATCGTGGAGTTCAACAACTGGGAGGTGATTGTGTACAAGGACGACAGCAAGAAGCCCCCAGTGGGTGAGGGGCTGAACAAAGCTGCAGAGGTGACTCTTCTGAACATCAAGTGCGTGAACAAGAAGACCGGGGAGCAGTACCACGAGGGAGCAAGGGTGGAGAGGTACAGGGAGATGCTGGTGAAGAAGGCGGAGGAGCAGGGTGCAGAGTTTGTGTCCTTCGACGTTGCCAAGGGAGAGTGGAAGCTCAGGGTGAAGCACTTCAGCGCCTATGGGCTTGGGTGACGTACCAAGTAATCCTGATTCCTGAGTGAGGGATGGACGATGGAATGTCTTGTAGTTAAAGTAGCGTTTTTTTTTGTTTGCTTTGATGTAGTGGTAGGTAAGTTGCACCTTTACGCTCTTGTCAAATGTCATGCAGGGGTTCTGTTGAGCTCCTTTTGTGCAAAAGATTTGAGTTGTTGCTGTAAAATGCTTGCAAATTGAGCTATGCTGCTGAAACAGTAAGGCGTGCTACCTATGTCATTAATAAAGGAAGTGTACATGGAAAAAATTGAGACGCGAATCAAACTAAAAGGATATTATGCTTTGTTACGAAGCATATACTTTAGACAACTTTGTCAATCAATTTTTAAATGTAAGAACATCAAATATGATTATCTAAATGATATATATTAGGTTAGTACACAAAACAAGACATTCATGTTAAGCCCGCTGAAGTAGAAGTGGTGCTCTATGCGTCTAGCGGGTGTAGAAAAGCAAAGAAATTTGGTATTTGGCTGCTAAACGCTGAAGCTGAAGTGGTGCTCCTATCTATGCGTCTAGCGGGTGTAGAAAAGCAAAGAAATTTGGTATTTGGCTGCTAAAAGGTGCTCAAAGAATTGTGTATTAGCCACTAGACATATTGGTTGCGTAAACATTGCATACGAACCATGGAGCACAGGCCACAACAAGGCGGTGATGGGCATGGTGGCGGGGATGGAAATTTTTGTTAGTTTTGTTCTTATGTGAAACCTAGGATATTTTGATGTTTTTTCTTAGTATTTTTTGGCCAATGAACCAGCTTGCAATTGTCTTTTAGTAGTGTAGATATATTTTGCCTTTTTTAGTTTGGGGATTCCAATGAAATTGTTCTTTCTATTATTAGTGAGTCACTTTTACATGATTGTACATGCTATTTTAAAGGATTATGATAATTAATAATGCTTTGATTTTGTATTTGTGCTGCAATTGTTGGAATATATGAAATACAATTGGTTGTTTATTGACATATATCGAATGCAATATGCCCAAGACGCCGTAAATTTTTGTGGGTGGGCAGCCACCTAGATGGCTAACAGGCTAGTGAAGACGTCAGATGCGGTTCAGGCCGTTGTGTGCAGCCATAGGGGGAGGGGCCGGAGCCAGGAGCGAGGGATGGGTAGAAATAGGCCGTGTAGTAACCTTATTGTGTGAAAAATAGAAAATCACTACTACGACTGGAATCTTCGTGGGGCGGATGGCCTCCTAGATGGCTAACAGGTTGGTGAAGACGTCATATGGGGTCTCGCCGTTGTGTGTGGCCATAAGGGGAGGGGCCGGAGCCAGGAGCGGAAGGATAGGCAGAAACATCGACGAATACAGGAATAATTTTCAGGTGTGGTAAGGTTACAAAGATCAAACTTGTATAGTGTAAAATGTTACGTAAATATATATATATCACAGACGGATCTGGGTTGTTTTGACAAAAATGCTCTTCAAATGTGTATAAAAGGGTCAGCAAAAGGCAAATAATCAATTAATAATTGAACTATTGAAGTATTGATACTGATTATTGAACCTACACAAGTGCATGATGCGTATCAATATACAGCCCTAGGTAAATTAATTAATTTTGAAAAAATAAACTAGTTAGAATTCTAAATTAAAAAAAAACTTTTCATTACGTAATTAGTCTTCTTCGATGCCTTTTTTTTAGCAATCTTCGATGCCATTGTTGCACATAGCGGCGGGAGTCGCAGGCACACCGCCATTGTCAGCCAGCCACCACGCCGACTTCACGTATTTATAGCTTTTTTTTTTGAGAGAGATTAGCTTCTTTTTGGGTTTTCCCATCACCATGAAGCCCACCAGCCCAGCCGTAAGATACAACAGGTCAGCATGTATTTTTGACGTATGTCATGCATGTATATTAATATATATACACTACATATATTTAGTATTTTCTATATATTTTAGCTATGGCGGCCGCCAAAACTAGCCAAATAGCTGGCTCCGCCCATGGGCAGAAATAAGCCTGTTGTAACATTATTGTATGAAAAATTGAAAATCAGATTTTTTGTGGGACGGGCGACCTCCTAGATGGCTAACAGGACGTCAGATGCGTTTCGGACCGTTGTCTGCGGCCATAGGAGGGAGGGGCCGGAGCCAGGAGCAGAAGGATGGGCAAAATAGGCGCAGTAATTTTATTGTGTGAAAAATAGAAAATCACTGCTGCAACCGGAATTTTCTTGGGGCGGGTGGCCTCCTAGATGGCTAACAGGCTGGTAAAGACGCCAGATGCGGTTCAGACCGTTGTGTGCGCCGTAGGGGAGGGGCCGAAGCCGGGAGCGGAAGAATGGGTAGAAATAGGCCGGGTACAAACCACTGCTGCTCCGTAATTGTTTTTGAGACGGACAGCCTCCTAGATGTCTGACAGGCTGATGAAGAAGCTAGGTGCAGCTCGAACCGTTGTGTGCAGGTGATCGGGATTCTTCGGGTCTGACCAGTCGGACCCAAACACTGCGCTGACCAGGGATGGGAGAGAGCACGAACAAGTGCGGCCCAGTTAAAAAGCACAGTCCAGTTAAGTTCGGAGCATCGGTGGCTAGACAACGGTCACGTAGCAGCCCGGTAGGATACATTTTCTTTTTTTTACTCGTTTATTTCTTAATTCTTTTTTTTCTGCTACGTGGTCCTTTATTATTATTTTTGTTTTCTTTATCTTTTTATAGTTTTTTATTTCTTTTATTTTAATCTAATTAATTTATTTTATTTATTTCATTTTTGTTTTCATTGTTTTTGTTTTTTCTTTTCTACTATTTACTTTCTTCTTTGTTTATGTAGTTTTTTCACTTTATTTTTAATTTTATATTTTCATTTAACTCTAATTTTTATTTAATCATTTTCATGTTTTATGTTTTTAAGTTTTTTTATTTCAGTAGGTTTATGCCGGTGCGTTGCTACGGGATAGCTAAACTTTTGTACTAAAAATACACGGATCGCACGATAAGATAACGATACTGTGAAATTAAATACCAACGTTAAAATAACATTTAATTCAAAAAGCAAAGTTCGTGAAATTAACAGTCACGAAGAGCGCGACATCGCAGGCTCATAATGTTTTATATCGGCAGGAAGAAATCTTCGATATCAATTTCTTTTATGCGCCAATAAATCCATAAATAAGTTTTGCCGCTTCTCCATACCATCTTGTACACAGGTTCGAGTATATATGTAAATATTAGTGTCTGTCACATAGGTAATACTGCGAGTCTTAAAAAATCTCTCACAAAATGGTATGTTATACTCACCGTATAAATATGTGTTGCTTTAGGTCTATTCCACGCAGACATATACTAAATATAGTATCCACTTGAGTGTCTCTGGCAAGATTCACCATCAGCAATATATAGAAATAGTTAAATCATAGGTATCATTATTGTAAGCGATGATGACTCTAAGTTAGTTATCCATTTATGTCATCTGCAATGTTTTCTTCACGAAGCAGTGATAGTATCTTTGAATTAAGTACTGGATCACAATGTTATTTTCTTGGAGGAGTGACAGTATCTCTGAATTTCTCCCAAAGAAACAAAAACTAGAAGTAAATAAGGAATAATATACTTAAATCAAATCACGGGCCCTAATTTACCTTGGTGCATTCCAAGTCTTTAAACATATTGTACTATTGAATGTCAAGATTTGTATTGTCAATACTATTGAATGTCGATTCTAAAGATTGAATGGACAATGTCAAAAAAATTACGCAGTATTGGAATTCACATCAACAAAGTTTCATCAAGCAAATAACCAGACAAATCAAATAACTAAAATGCTTATATGTCAAGTTATTAAGCATCACTAAGATGTATTTATGATTCACACAAGAAGAGATCGCATGCTTTGGCAACATATTTCCACCAAGGCAACCAACACTCTTACTGCACCCAACAACACGAAATCGGTAGCCAAAAAAGCAATGCAAGAGCACACGCCTTAGCAGCAAAATGTCTTCAGCAGGTCTTCAAGCTTCCCAACATTCAGAAGCCGCCCTCAGAGGTGCCAATCAACTGGTGCATGAAAGCCCTAGTTTGATTTTAGATAATTGATGAAACCTATGTACTAACCTTTGTCATGAGTTGTGATATGAGCAAGGTTGGTACAATCCAAGTGAGGAGTATGGTGGCACTCAAGTGATGGTGATGATCACATGAAATGATGATATGGCCACATGTGATGATGATCAAGTGCTTAACTTAGAAAAGAAGAGAGAAAAACAAAACCCTATGGAGATCAAGGCAAAGGTATAAATAGGGGTTTTGTTTCGGTGATCAAGACACTATAGAGAGTGTGATCTCATTTAGGATAGATGGCCATACTATTAAGAGGGGATCTCAACTAGACAATTCGGTTATCTAGTGACACTAGGTGTTAAACTTCATACGAAAAAATATTAGGCCTAGTGCACATCGAAGAGCAAGCGAATAAATATTTATTGAAAATGATTTTGAGAAATGCTAACTTGACTCTAACATGTTTTGAGAAAACACTTTGATAGTTAGCATCGCTTGCAGAGAGTAGCTCGAGTTGCCGTGGATCAAATCGCAAAAAAGTTTGCAACATGGAGAGCTAGTGGAGGTGCCTGGGTGGCACCACCACCCCCTGTCCGGTGCACCGCCACCCCTGTGATGGTGCCCACCTGACTATGGCCGAGAAGGGCAATTTGGGCTGGGGCACCGCCCCTACTGGTGTTCACCGCCACTGTCATGGCGGTGCACTGCCGTAGGGTGTCCGGTGCCACCATCGCTTTTCGGCAGAGACTAGGGGTAATTGGGACGGTTACCGCCATGGTGACGGCGGTGCACCGCCCCATTTTTCTAGAGATGGGCGCAAGCGAAGGGGGGCATTACCCTGGTCACCGCCATTGGTGCGGTGGTGCACCACCCTATTTTTCCAGAGGGTGTCGACTTCGGGACTCGGCTGGGGTGGTCGCCGCCACCCCTATGGCGGTGCCACCGCCATCTTGTCCGGTGCCCCAACAACTA